TAAAGCCTTATCATTAATTAATAAAAAAGGGGGATATGTAGGGGGCCGTTTCCTGCATGCTCCATTACAATAATGGTGCCTAAAGACACCAAGATGTAAATTACTTCACAGGCGCTGGGTAATCTCCATTCCTTTGATCTCTGCCTATCCCGTGGCTCATTTGGCCTGAGGAGCTGAAGCCATTCATAGGGTAACACGTCCCAGGCGGCTGGCCAGCCTTTATTAGGGATGGGTTTTCTTGGTTCAGTGTCTCCGCTCTGGTAAGCTTATGCATTAAAGCTTGTCTGCAGAAGGATCCGAGTGTCCTGCGTGTATTTCTTGCCGGCCGAGAAAATACAGCGTGCGCGGGACAGCCTTCATCTTCCCATTATTCTCCTAGTTTGGTAGCCCTATGCTTTCTGCTTGACTACTAGCCCAATCAGCATTCATTCATCAGCCAATAAGAGAAACACATTTACAACATAGAGGACATCCCCCACCATATGTGGAATCACACCTTGAAGTGTGTCTGTGGGGAGGAAGGGCCAGGTTAGTCGAGTGAGCAAGTGGAGAAGTTTTAATGGCAAGGAACTTCTTTTGACACCTGTTTGGTTCTCTAGTTGTAGGCAAGCCGTTCACCATCATCTCTTGCTTCTGCCACCGCTGGGTGTTTGGCTGGTTTGGCTGCCGCTGGTATGGATGGGCTGGATTTTTCTTTGGCTGTGGAAGCCTTATTACCATGACAGCTGTTAGCCTGGACCGATATCTGAAGATCTGCTATCTGTCTTATGGTAAGTTGGAAGGTTCCTTGTTCCCTGATAGTGAAAGCTAGATGGCTTGAGTGTTAGAGCTGTACATACTTTACACAGTAAACAAAGGTTATTTATAACGTCAGTGACCAAGAATACTTCTATTCATAGCCTGTCTTGTTCTACAATATACTTTGATTTGACCTGTATCGATGTATGTTTCCTTTAATACTACTTTTAAATAATGCCTATAGCTTTTAAATGTCTCACTTTTTTGTATGAAGTATGGAAATGTCCACCACATTTCCCCATGCAAAAAACAAAAACAAAATGCATGAATGTGGTCAGGTCTGGGGTTCTTAGCTGACGACCTGCTCAGTTTTCCTAATTATAAGAAAAGTTGTCTGTGATTCTCCTCCAGGACTCAGGTTCCCCACGTTTTCAGAGATGGGGAATTCCAGAATGTTCTCCAGGGTTAGAGAGCCATACAGATGTTCCCACCTGAAAGGACACACACTGAAACACTGATCTGCCGATCTCTTTTGGTATTGGTAGGTAGTAGAGCAGCTACTAAGAGGAGTGCTGAGGCAGCGGTGATGGAGTTTTCAGAGCCCTGCCTTTTCAAGATTAGACTATTCTACTAGTTAAAGTTTGAGTACTTTTGGTTCTGGGGATTCTTGGAACTTATTCAACCAGAAGGAGAAAATAGACGTGGCAAAGGAAGTTTTCTTTGTCACTTAGACTGTTGATAGTCTGATAGTACTGAGACTCTAAAGGAGACCATGGATGGGTCAGGAGGAGGGTAGTTGTAAATGTCTTCATGATTAAAAACACATTAAAAATTGCAGCCTTCATTAACATCTGAAGCTTTCAGTACAAACAGCCTGAGTCAAAGTGTAAAATTACACAGCTTGGGTTACATCGGAGTCTAATTCTTACCACAATCTTGTTTTTTTTCTTTAGCACAACAAGCTGAGTTTTAATAAAATGATAGATTTTGTAGACAAGCATACAGAAAGTTCAACTTCCTGGGAGTATTTGAGGAGAATTAAACCTTGATGCCTGTCTTAAAATATGTCATCTTGAGATTAAACTTTGTATCAATTAAAGAGAGGTTGTTATGCTATCCATCACCAGAGTCATGGCAGGGCAAAAACTGTATGAGGACTGTGTATATTATCTAGATTCTTCTAAGGCTGACCCTCAGTGATATTTCATCATTTAATCTGATTCACTATTGGACCACCCACACAGTGTTCTCTAGCATATTGGAATTTAAAAGGTCACTTGGGGACATGCAGACTTTTCCACCATGTAATGCTGTATATAGTCATCCCCGAGAGATGACCGTTTGGCCTCTTGAATAATTCCAGTGACCAGTGACGGGGAGCTTACTCTTGCACAAGGCAGCCCATTCTCTGATTGGTCTGCTCTCATTGTAACAATGTTATTCCTTATATTGAGACAAAACTGCCTCCCAGTAACCTCCACCCATTGGTCCTAGTTCTGACTGCTGGAGCAACACAGAACCCATCTACTAATCTCCTCCCTCCTGTACTTGACAGCCTTTCAGCATACTGGAATGTAAGTATCCAAGCATCTCACTAAGTAACCCTCACTCTCAATGCTTATCCGTATGCCTATGCACACCCTTATGAATATATGTCCATGATCTCTGCCAGTGTCTGATGCGTTATAATGGATCACCAAGAGCTGACAAACCTTTGTGGCTACCTGATCGCTACCCTTCTCCGGTTGGTCTTGAGGAAGTTTTGTACTTCATGATGTGTAATGTAATGTCATGTATTTGGGAAAATGTAGACAACTGAGCATAGAGACAATTTGTTCTATTTTTCCTTAGTGAACACACACACACACACACACACACACACACACATTATTTTTTTTTATAGAACACACACACACACACACACACACACACACACACACACACACACACACACACAGAGGAGTAAATGTTCATGTTCATAGTTTGCAAAATTGACACTATTTCATTTACTTTAAACTTCATTAAAACCTTTAAGCGATGACTAGGGATGTAGCTTAGTAGGCAGAGTGCTTGCCTAGCATACACAATGCCCTGGTTTCTACCCCCAACACCATAGAAACTAAGCATAGTGGGAGGATACACTTGTAATTCCAGTTCTTGGGAGACAGAGGCAGGAGCATCAAAAGTCCAAGGACATCCTCAGCTACAGTCAGTTTGAGCAATTTGAGGCTAGCATCAGACAGAGACTGGGTCTCAAAATAAACAAGCAAGAAAACAAAGAAGCCAACAATAAACCTATAAACAATTTGCCATCACAACTTCCCCTTACTGGTAAGAATGGTGAGCGTTTAGAGAGGCAACATGACACACTACCCCCGGAACAATTGTTGTCTTAGTGACTTAAATCTCACTTGCTCAGAACAGAAGCAGACCCAAGTGCATGTGGAAGAAATCTTATTCCATGTCTTTTTACATTTCTTCCCTGTGACTGGGCAACCAAAGCAGCAAAGAGCCATTCCCGTGGCCCTCCAGCAATGTGACAAGTGAGGTATGGAGAACACTTCCATAGTGACTGCTACTGGCCTAGCTTTGGTGACTGTGGTGAGCTTTGGGAAATGATGACTAGTCATTTTTTTTTTTTTAATTTACCATTAAGAAACATTTTAAATTACTGCAGCGTTTCTTCTTCTCGGACTTTTCTATCTGTTAAGAAACTAGTGTTGATACCCAGAGCTCCCCTGGACACCCCCAACCTTCCTGAAGACATTCTTTCAGAGGTACTTTCACGGCATGTGTGACAACCTAATCAGATTGTCTGCCATTCTCCCACCATGGCTGTGTGTGCTTGACTGTCCCATAAGTAACAAAAGAAAATCTGCATGAATTTCCAAGCACAGTAACCTAGCTCAGTGTCACAACACAGAGAGAAGATCGAGACCCAGCAACCCCATGCAACCAGTTCTTAAGCAAAGAAGGGGCGTAGACACACAGAAAGTTTTAGGAATAAGGGTGTTTGGAAGACACAACCAATCCTTTGTGAATTCTCACCTTTTGGGAAGGATTCTCCTTTCAATTCTTGGAACACTTGCTAACATACTCTTGAGATGTTTTCCCAAGCTCCTCCATTGTCTTCAGCGTCCTTTCCTCCTTTTGCTGTCTGCTTCCCCTGTCCCCGTGTCACTTCTCCCTCCCGAAGCTCCTAGGTGCCTAGAGAAAACTGTCCCTGTGAATTCTCTTCAAATTGAATCCTCCTGGACAAAGGCTCCAGCTCTGGAACTTTCCCTCCCTTGACTTCACTCTCCCCCAGGCTTCAATTATCTGTTCACGTCTCCCAGAATTCAGTGGAATAAATCTTTGGAGATGGAATTTGACTTGTCCAGGGGAGGTATATGGGTGTAGGGCAGGTTCCACGCGGGTAACACTTTTTTTTCCACCTCCAGGGGTCTGGCTGAAGAGAAAGCATGCCTACATCTGCCTGGCAGTCATCTGGGCATATGCTTCCTTCTGGACCACCATGCCCTTGGTGGGTCTGGGGGACTATGCACCCGAGCCTTTCGGAACCTCGTGCACCCTGGACTGGTGGCTGGCCCAGGCTTCAGGTGGGGGTCAGGTGTTCATCCTGAGCATCCTCTTCTTCTGCCTCCTGCTCCCAACGGCTGTGATTGTTTTCTCATATGTGAAGATCATCGCCAAGGTGAAGTCCTCTTCCAAAGAGGTAGCTCATTTTGACAGTCGGATCCATAGCAGCCATGTGCTTGAGGTGAAACTGACCAAGGTAACTGAAGTCCCTTTATAGACATGGTTTCTGAACAGTCCAAACTTCAAAGGATGAGAGGGATAGGGACTGTTGGGACCAGGAAAACTTAGAATTACTATTGATTGTTTACATGCTTCTGAACTTTGTTAGGACTTATTTAAGCCATTGTAGTCTCTCATCTGTTCCCTAACCCACACCACACAAATATCTACCAAATTAGCATCATGGATTCAGTGGGGCTTATTTTCTCTATTGGAATCTCTCTCTCTCTCTCTCTCTCTCTCTCTCTCTCTCTCTCTCTCTCTCTCTTTCTCTCTACACACACACACACACACACACACACACACACACACACACACGTCCTGACACATAATACTTCACAGTTTGTTGCATTTTGCTTGGACTCTGGTGGGCATTTGAAGGACATCCTACCATCCACACTGTTTACTGAAGAAGTTTATCACAAATTGTTCCTGTTCTTGAAAGGGTTGGATCTTTTGGTAAATGTTGAAGAACACAGTTGGTAGTTGTTTAGATGTTGTGGTAAAAGGAAAAAAGAACATGGAATTTGACAACAGGTAAGGGTTTGAATTCCATCACAAATATTGCCCTGTTTGTAGCCCAGCAATAGACACCTAGCTTCTTTTTCAAATTAATTAATTGACTGACTGGTTATTTTTAAATTGTGATTAAATTATAATTATATCACTTCCTCCCTTTCTTTTCCACCCTAAGCCCCTCCCATCCCTCTTTCCTCCAATCTCCTCCTGTCCCCTCTCACTCTCAAGTTGATAGCCTCCTTTTCCTAACACACACACACACACACACACAATATATATATATATAAAAACAAGCTGCTGAGTCCATCTTTGTTCTTTAAAGCCCAGTTTCTTTGAGTCCTGATCCTCACTGTGTAACAAGACTAGTGACATCTGGGTCTTGAAAACTGGCTCAGCAGTTAGGAACACTGCTCTTTCGGAGCAGGTTTGGCCTCCAGCATTCATGCGGTGGCCCACACTCTTCTGACACCCTCTTTGCCTCCTCAGGTGCCAGATATGCTCAAGCTGTACATATATGAAGGCAAAATACCCACACGCACAAAGTGAAAATAAACTTAGAAAGAAAAGCAGGGCAACTCCGTGATACCCGGTATACACTGACACGGTTTTCAACCAATTCCTACTGAAGGGAGAAGAAACAGTCTCCAGGGCCCTTTATCTGTCCTGAGGGGTCCTTTCCTCCAGCCTCAGCCCAGGCTTGCTCAGCTCCTCACTCCCCCAGAGCTTCCACTCTGGGCAACACCAGTGGGCTAAAAGTGTGTAACTTCAAGGCTACAGGCCAAGATTTTAGCATCAAAATAAGTCCATTTTCGGTGTCCTCTTAAGTAGTTCTACTGGGTTATTATCTTGATCTGCCTTCTCTTGGTCTGATTTCATCTACCAAACCATGAAATGGCATCTGCCTATAAATTTGTCATCTTCTCTAATTATTCTTTTTTATGATAGACTCCCTATTCTTCTGTCTCTACCTCCCAGGTACAAGAATTATAGGCATACTCTACCATGCCCAGCTAAGCGTAGCTGGGCATGGTAGAGTATGCCTATAATTCTTTGATAGTGAGACGCAGAATCAAAATCACTCACACAGCGCAGTGACCCTCTGTGGCTCATCTAATAAGGGGATAGTAGTGTGGCTGGAAGACAGTGTCAGAAAGGGCACACCAGTTTTTCAAACATTGTTATGCCAAATACCTTGGCAATCCTTATTGGTTCTTTAACATACATAGATCTCTTACTTTTATTATCATCAAACACCCCCTCCTTAATTGTCTCTAGATGATAGAAGTCCCCTTACTGCAGGGCACCAGAGAATTTGGCATGTTGCCTTTAGTGGTGCCTGTCATACTGTGCCATGTATTTATCTCTCTTTCTTTGCAAGAGAATGGATGAAGTACAGGCAAGTGTTACACTCCCTTTGATTCTGCATTTCGAAGCCCAGCACTTGCTAGATGGTAACCAGGAGGGCTCCATTGAATACATGATTAAGGAGACCTAATTATCTTGATAACTGTGAAGTGGTCCTTTGACTCCTAGTTCGAGCAACTCTTTCTTTGGGACATTTGGTTTTGTTTCATTCTTCTCCTTTCCTTGAGAAGCCTTAAAAAAAAAATCCCCAAGCTGTGAATTCAGTTCTCCCCCTGGTGAGTTGCTTCATTGTTTCATCCATTGATTATTAGCTGTCAGTGAGATGTCAGTTCCGGGTGGAGTTTCCCTATGTCGATGCTAAGGACAGTTAGTAGAAACACTTGCGCTTTTTTTTTTAAAGCCAATTATTTATTTCTCTTTGTTCTCTTTAGCTCTTCCAAGCTGAAAGGCCACTTCTCAGAGAAGGATTTTAACTTGGAGTTCAGGTCTTCCTATTCCGTTTCACTGAAATACAATGACTTCTTGGGAGTTGTCAAGTTTTTAATTAATTTGCAAGTGCATACTCTTCTTGTTCCATGTCCTTCTTCACCAGCAGTCAATAGGGCCTGCAGGGGATCCACGTCCTTCCATCACTTCGTGTCCCCAGAACCCAACACGTTGCCTCTAGCACGCTAAGTGCTTACTATATATTTGCAGAAGGAAAGAAAAACTAATCTAGAGAGACACAATAATAATAATAAAAAAAGAATTTCAAAGCAGTGGTCATTGCCAATTTTTCCACTAGCCCCATGAGAGGACACACACTGTTAATGTTTATTATTGATTTTGTTCGTCAGTGTCTGAATCCTGTGCCGAGAAATCTCCAGCATTTTAATTGTTTTGGAGGAGTCGGGGTGAGAGCTATATGGCTCAAATTAAAAATGCAGAAAAAGCAACAGCTCTACTTCTGTCACCAGCCATCTGCTATGGGTATCAGGGTCTCGTAAGGGCAGGTGCAGGGCCAGAGTTCTCCTCACCCACGGAGGTGTGTTCTAATCAGAACCATTAGGCTGAGGCTTGAGTCTCCATTCCAAGTTACTGCCTGAATTTGCATCGTTTGATAAGTTCTATTCCACTCAGTGGAAGTCAGTGCTGTGACTTACAACCCAGACTCCTGTCTCACCCACCTTGGGAAAACCATTCAAGGTGTAAGGTCTTAGTTTTTCTCATCTGTGAAAAGGTATGAGGAGAGAGAGAGAGAGAGAGAGAGAGAGAGAGAGAGAGAGAACATAAAACCAAATGATATCGTCATTGACTTCAAACCCCAAATTCTGCCAACATGGCTATTCATGTTGGCTCATTTAAAGGCCTGTTTGTGGGGCTGGAGAGATGGCTCTGTGTCAAGATCACTGCCTGCTCTTCCAGTGGTCCTAAGTTCAATTCCCATAAATCACACCATCTACAGTGCGATCTGATGCCCTCTTCTGCCATAGGTCGTGTATGCAAATAGAGCTCTCATATATAAAATAAGTAAGTAAATCTCAAAAAAATCTTTAAAAAGGCCAGTTGTGGTAGTCTGACAAAAGCTATACTAGCTGATCCCTATAGCTTCTTGTTCTACTCAAAGCAACAGTATTCCATCTAAGGACCTTGGCTCACCTATAATGAATGTATCTCCACTAGGTCCCTTACTCTATTGAATAGGCACTTACAAATTACTCCCTGTTGATTAGGTCAAGCCATTGCTTAGTCTGGGGATATCATGTTCAGTTTTAGGCTTAAACTCCCAAACACAGATGGGCAAGATGACGTGACTTAATTTGTCATCTCTCTTTCAATCTCTGGTTTTGCTTGTTTTTAGAGTGGCGGTATTTTAAGGTTTGAGAAAATTGCAACTGGAAAGTGTGGAATTCTATTTTTTAAATTTTTTTAAAGCATGAGCTCATATTTTCTGCTTGGATTCTAGCCAGGGCTAACAGATGGCAAGCGCCCCAAAGATTCCAGAAAAGTTTCTTTGCAAGTTTATGGAAGAGGGTGTGAGACAGTTGACCTCAGTTGTCATTCTGTGGGTAAACCAAAAGGAACTCAAAGCAGACATGCTCAGGTTGTTGAATGACTTAAGCTCTTGGAAGGTACCCTGAGAACATAGGTATCTTTACTCTTGCTTTTACATATATGTGGGGGAACAGAGGGACAAAAAGCTATGATAACACTCAGGTTTCCCACCTTCCTACTTACTTTTACTTTTGTTTGTTTGAGAATATACTCTATAGTATAGGCTGTCTATAACTCCCTCTGAAACCAATATTGGCCTTGAACTCATGGGCATCCTCTTGAATGCTAGGGTCACTGGTGTACATCCATACTGGCTTATTACTTTTCTGCATTTTGATAGTATTGCTATAGTGACAGGTATATTCACACATGGAAGTCAGTTGTCTCAGAAACGGCATTACTGTCTTTTAATCTAATTTTCACTGGTTGTGGACAAATGCATGTACTTGCTAAGCAGCCCAATGATAATATATCTTAATCTTTTCACCCCATACTTAGGTCAATCACATACTCTCCTGCAGTGGATAGCCCCCCTGCTTCTACTCCTTTCTCTCAGTGCACTGATTTCATCTCAGCCACCAATTGACATTGCTATCACTTGTTTGGTGACGTAATTCAAACATCGATGGAGGGTTCATTCCATTTCCTTGGCCCTCCTTGTGGGCTTTTCCTTTCCCATCAATTCTACGGCCTTCTCCCATCTATTTCATTATTCAATGAAGCATGCAGCTAAAGCCTGACTCAGATCTGGGCAAGGGAACTTGGTGGGAGGAACTGGACTCCTGAAATCACTGTGCATAGAGCAGCAGAGCTTTTGTTCTTCTTAGAGACAGTGGAGTTAAATGAGGACTGAGACCACAGAGAGACACAGTATCTCACAGCCAAAGCCTCTGCATCCTTCCACCATATCTCTCGCATTGAGAGGAGAGGCCCTCCTTCCTTAGAACCCTTGCCTTCTATGATTCAGTCACGTGTAACCGAAATTATTTAAGCTCCCCGACATTACTTTATGACTATGCTAGCTAGTTAGTCCACTGGCATTGAACGCACACAGGCAAT